CTGAACATAATGACAGTAAGGAATAATAATTAATACATCATTAATAATAATTAATACATCATTAATAATAATTAGTTATATAATTATTACCTAACGGCTTCAAACACGTGTACTAAGGTTTTAGCTGTGTCCATTTTAAATTTAAATATCTTTAAAGTTTGACCAAATTTCATTAAAATTGAAAAGGAAAGGATTTTTCATTTTTATTACATTTCCTGATACATACATGTATACATGTTTTAATGCTGCATAGAAAGTTTGAGCTCATTCCAATCAAAATTAAATTTTTAAAAAATTTTTAAAGTTGCTCCAAAATCAGACCAAAGTCCCTGTACTATAGTACAGGGATTTTGGTCAAATTTGACAAATATTGAAAGGAGAGAATTCTTCATTTAATTACATTTGGTGATGGTGTGTGTGCATTATCACTAGGTATGGTGAGTCTCACTGAGGAGATTCATGGTTTAATGAGAGTGATGTGGTCAGGGAAGTGGGCAGTAGTAACTCCACACACAGTTCTATCAGCAATATGGACTCACATACCGTCATTCAGGGGGTACTGTCAACAAGACGCTCAAGAATTCTTATGGTATTGTTTGTTGTTGGTTGTTTACTGTTTGTTGTGTAGTCAATTATTGGATCAGTTACAGAATGAATTATTAAAGTGTCCTTCGGGATTGATTATTAAAATAAATAATCCATGGAGAGATACTGTACTGGCCAGGGACTTATTAAAATCATTATTTGAAGGTCAATTAATTAGCACTGTAAGTTAATTAGTGGTTATTAATAGTTATTAATGGTTATTATTCATAGATTGTGTACAGTAACTGTGGGCATACTTCATTCGTTTGTGAGTCGTTTTGGGACTTGTCATTAGAATTGGCAATCACCACGTTAGTAGTAATTATTGATTATTGTTTAATTCATTCATTATGATTCTTAGGTTACAAAATACTTCGAGTAGAAGAAGCTTATCAAATTCTAGTACATTGTTTGGTAAATTTATCATTATTATTATTATTATTATTATTATTATTGGGGCGAGCTTGGGCGAGCCCCACTGTAGCAGGAGTCTTCTGTATGTACATGTATGTATGTAAGTGCGTCTTCAGTCACGCCCATCTTCTGGTCACGCCCTATTTGTGCACTACTATCTATGTATCAGTCAATGATCTAATGCAGTAGCATCATTAGCATCATTATAATGAAATATTGTAAAAACATATGAAGCAAGAAGACAGCTTGAGATCAACCCCAGTGACCTAGCTGGAATGAAAAGATGTTCTTCTTCATGCTCAGGGGGTTGTGATGGCATCCAAGATTTAACTGGAAAAGTAGCCTACAGCTGTAGTTAGGAGCAGAGTCAGCACAATACCATGAATCACTCAAGCTCGCCCCATTAATGCATTGCAGTCGACTAGTTATTATTATTATTATTTATTAGATTCATTGAATAAGTTCACTGCTACTGAACATATTGATGATAATATTTTTGAATGTTCCCGTTGCCAGGGGCAACATCAGTCAATAAAGAAACAGTTGTTGATTAAGGATCCTCCTGAGGTTCTTCGGATACACCTCAAGAGGTTTAGGTGATTATAAAATCACTTTTCATTAATTAATGTACATTATATTCTTTAGATTTATTAATAACTGCTGGAGGAAACTGACCAATCAAATTGAGTTCCCAATGGAACTAAATATGTATCGATACTGTAACCACGACAACCAGTCAGTAGGTGTGGTCAACGGAGAGGAGGACACAGTGTATGATCTATCAAGTGTGATAGTTCATCACGGGAACTACAGCAACACTGGCCACTATACTGCCTACTGCTGGAATAATGACGCTGGTATATTTATAATGTTCATTATTGTTTTGTTTGTAATAGGCTCTTGTTGTTGTTGTTGTTGTTGTTATTGTTGTTGTTGTTGTTAGTATTTTTTGTTTAGGTTGCTGGGTCCATTGTAATGATGCTAAGTTAAATCGATCAAGCAGTGAAGAGGTCCTCAAATCACAACCTTATGTTTTATTTTATGCAAGAAGAAGAGGAAGGTCTCCCGTTCTTAATAGACTAGTTAATGATGGTGATGAGTCAGGACCTGATACTAAACACATGAGGACAGAGAATATATAGATCTTAATTATAATGTATACCAGTTGATGTTATGTGAGATTTTATAAGATTAATTAATGTTTCTTTTTTATCTCTACTGTGGTAGTGGACGCTGTGTGATTGGAGCCAAGACTTTAATGCAGGGACTTTGGACTTCTGCAACTAATTAATAAAAATAATGGAATGGCATACATTAATTAATAATCAATAATAATTATAAGGTGAATATTTCACCTACATGTAAGTTTAGGCAAAATTTTCACTCAATTATTAGTGACAATATCAGTACATGAATCAGGATTACATACTTTGATTTCTTCTACTGATGATACTCTATGAACTTGTACCTGGTATCATTAAAATTACTAATTATTATGCTATAGTAATTATTATTATTAATTACCTCTTGCTCCTCAATGTATTTATTAACATCAGGTACAGTTTGGTACCTCTTAAAGGATAATCCTTCTTCCTCTTCATCAGTCAACCTCTTCCTCTTCAAACCACCATCACTCATTGAG